TTTAATGCAAAAAACCCCAAACGTTTGCGTTGTTTCATTTGCTCACCAAAAAAAAAACCGGAAAATGTTCGAGTTTTTGACGTGTTACTTGTATTTCCCCCCTTAAGAGAATATTTAAGGAAATTGAGAAAATTTAGGAAACTTCAGGAAATGTCAAGGACCTACAGGGTACTTTAGAGAATATCATAGAATTTAACAAAACTACAATGAATTTAATAGAATACAGGTGCTGTCAAAAATAGTGATTTTAGTGACCATGTTGAAGAAAAAAGTGACCAAATAGTGACTTATAGCTGTAAAAAAAATGACAAAAAGTTACCTAAGGGAAGAATATTAGTCATTCTGATGGCATACCAAATAAATGTATAATGTTTTAGACTCATTTGATTGGAATCTCTTAAAAACTTAAATATTTACAATAGGAACCTTTAAAGCGAAAGATTCAATAGAAAGTTTATGAAAACCCAAAATTTTCAGGATTTCTCCTGAAAATACCTGGAAGTCTCAGGGAATCTTATCATTATTCAGGAAGTTTTATAATTTTCTAACTAAAGATATTCCAAAGAAAAGAATGCATTTCAAAATAAAAAGATTTAATATTCCTAGTTATTTTCATTCACACATTGAACTCTATAGAAAAATATCAAATGCAATCTGCTTTCATGGTAGTTCTAAAGAATTTTAGATTTCATGTGAAGTCTGAGATAGTTTTGAATAGAATTTCAAGAAAACCCGGAATTGAATTCAAAGTAAATTTTAATGAATATTTATAGGAATTTCTCCTCCTCTGAACTTCAGAGGAAAATTCCAGGGCATTCTGAGGATAATTACATGCAGTTTGTGAAAGACAACGAAATCGGAGCATAAGTCCTTGTATTCGGTGAAGGGGATTCTAAAAGGAGGATTACAATTAAATTTGAGAATAACTCAAGAAGATCTTCAAAGCAATTCGGAAAATAATTCCAGGAGAGATTGCCGAACAACCCTAATAAACAAATACTGTATTAACTGTATTAAACGAACTGTATCCCGGATGGGTAAACTATTCCACAAATGGTTTGGATGATACCCCGAACACGTCGTTAAGCTCTCTTTTATGGTTATTTTCATTAGGGAAAGTAAGGGTAGAAATCCAAGTAATTTGTGAGGAGAAATGAAAGTGGATTCTTAGGAGACTTTCAATGTGAGTTGAATTCCAAGGGAAGGGAGTGAGATTCAAATGGAAATCTGAAATGAATTCAATGAAAAATCTGAGATTCTTTCCATAAGATTTCTTACTGAGAAGAATTTCAAGGTAGTTCCTAGGAAAATTAAAAGAAAACTGAATTCGGAGGATAGTTTCAACGACATTTTGAGGAATATTTCAATGGAACTGCGAGAAGTATTCTAACTATATTCTTGTGATATATTTTAGAGAATTCAGGGAAGCGTTAAAAGTGAATTTCTGAAATAATTCCATGAGAGTTTCGGAAGAATACGAGCCTAAGATGAGGAGCGAATTTTCATGAGAAATCTCCGTTGAATATTTAATGGACTATTCTGAGGTCTTCAGAACAGCTTGAAAGTTCGCAAAATATTCCTGAAGTTAATGAAACTGTCTTGAAGTTCTTTTGTAGTTTGAGAAACTAGCCTCATGCTCGCAATACTTCCCATCAATGTTTTCAACTTCTCTCAACTTTTTCGGACTTCCTACAGTTTCCACAATTTTCCTAACGATCTTGAATCTTCTCTAATTTTTTAACAATTCACTGAATTTTTCGAAACTTTTTTAAAATTCATGTAATTTTGCTGCTCTGGAATATCCCTGTAATATGTTTCTTGAAGTTCTTGAAACTTTTTCTAGAGTGTTTGCAGTTCTCATGGAGCTTATTGTACTACCCTGTATTTAATTGAACTCCGTAGACTTCTGGACTTATGTGAAAACCTCAATAATTTTCTTAACATCTATAAAATTCTTTGAAAATCTGTGAACTTCTTGAAATTTCCCGCAACATTAGTTAAACTAATGGAACTGAACTCCCCTGAAATTCGCCTTGTTTCTGGAACTTTATTAAACTTATTTTAAGCATTTCATCCCGAAATGTCCAAATAAGTTCCTGAGGTTCTCGTGTCTTCCTTTAAGATCCATAAACTTTTATGAAGTTATCGAAACGTTTCTGACGAACTCTGTATTTCTGCGAAGTTTTCGAAATTATTCTGAAATTTCAGGAACTTATTGCTCCCGTAACGAAACAATTAATATAGTTCTACGATTTTCACTGAAGATTTGTTTGAAGTTCAAATTATCGAAACTAATTCATAACTTCTTCGACAGTCTAGAGTTTGCTGATGTTTTTAACACTGCCCAAAATATTTCTCAATTTCCTTAAAATTTTCTATACTGCCCTGAATATCTTAGTATTAAAAGAACCCACAATTTTACTGGAATTGATTGCATTGCCTTTAAGTTCTACAATTTTCCTTAAGTTTATAAACGCTCACGGAACTTTACCTTAAATCACTAATTTTCCCTGGAAAGTCCAGCCCTGAAGTTTTCTATGATTACCTTAGTTTCTCTAAATTGATCAAATGTTCCGGTAAATTTACTGATATACATGTATTATTCTCTGAATCTTCACAAGTTTTCAGATCAATCGTAGAATACTCGGAATATCCCATAATTTCAATGGGATTTCAATTTCCTTGCAAGTCACTGCAAATTTCTTCCAGTTAATGGGATTTTTCATAACATCTGTCTCATTTTCCTCAAAATACTCGAAACTTCACTGAATATAATGAAACAATCTTAAAATATCTAAATTTATTGGAAGATGTCTGGACTTTTTTGAAAATATCGGTGCTTGCTAAAATTTATCTTTTTTTTAATTAATGGAACTTCGTTGATGTTCTATAATCAACTTAGATCAATTTTCGAAATTTTTTAGATCTTGAAATTCCCATGATATAACACCGTTGAAATACTCTCACATTTTCCAGATGTTCATATAATTTTTATTGCGTTCCAGAAATTTTCTCTGAGCAAACTTCTTTAAGGTTTCTGCAATTTCCTTGTAATTTTTTTAACTGCCCTTTAATGCTATGACCTGTATTGATGTTCTCGGAGCTTCCCTAAAGCTCTCAATTTCAAAGAAGATTTAGGTTCAGCTTTAAAATAAATGGAATTCTCGTGAGCACCTTTAAATTTTCTGGAATTCTCTGGATTTCTGTTAAATTTCCTGAAATACTTCTGAAGTTTTCATAAATTTTCTTAAGGTCACTGTACTGAATCTCTCAGAACATCTTAAGGGTTCTCGATTTCATTTCAGCACGCCATGGAACTATCCTGAATTTGTCTTAACTAACGCTTGAAGATGCTAAAGATGCTAAAGTTTCGGGGACTTCCCCTTAAGATCTGTGGAATTCCCGGAAGATCTCTAGATCTATCTTTTCTAAGAATAATAGAACTTATTAAAAGTTTCCACAACTTTTCTAGTATGAAAATTTAAGATATTAAATTTTTTTAGTCTTGGACTTACTAAATGAAGTAAAACGTTTCTTTAAAACTGAATGTCATGTCTTAAAAACGTTTGAGTTAATTGTTGTTGTTGTTTTACAAAAAACGTATTTTTAACGCATTTATGTTTTAAAATAAATGAAATTCTCGTGAACACCTTTAAATTTTCTGGAATTTTCTGGATTTCTATGAAATTCCTGAAATATTTCTGAAGTTTTCATAAACTTTTTCAAGGTCTCTGTACTGAATCTCTCGGAACATCTTAAACAGAGCTCGGATTCTTCTCTAATGCTTCTTCTGGAACATCCCTGAATACTTAAGCAAAGTTTATCAAACATCAGCTCTCCTGGAACAGTTTGAACAAACTCCAATCAGCGAAAAAAAAAACCATGCCAAACACCAAGTATTTTGTAGCATACGTCCACCTTTAAGAGAGATATAGAAATTTTCACATAAATCAGAAACGGTAGCGTAGATTATAAAATTGTTTTTGTTTCCGCCATTAGTTTTTTCACAGAGTGTTTTATCTCTGTCATCGGATGAAATAAAAGTGCCAAGGTTTTTCTTCAAACCAATGTCAAGCGGCCAGGGTTTTTAAACACAGGGTTGTAACCGAAATCCCTATATTGGATACGCAAAATCCGCACCACCACTCAACAATATTTAAAACAGCCTTAAACTTTAATTATATCGAACCTCTAAGACTTAGAGCCCAAGTATAGCTGGCGTACTGACGAAGTCTACATGCAATGGACGCAATACAATAATGAAATTATTGTACGCTCTTCAGCCTTAAGCTACGAAAAAAATTCTGAGCAGTTTTTCAAAATCTGAGAGGAATGTGAAATTTTTTAAAGTACCTAGAATCACGAAAATTTTAATGTCCACCCAGAACAGCATCATGAAAAGTCTCAGATTTTCAAACCAGGGCTCCCGTAGCTTAGTCGAACAAAGGCGCTGCTTCAAAGCAAGGCCATGCTGGATTCAATTCCCGGTTAGATCTGGGAATTTTTCGCAAAAGTGATTTCGGGATTTTGCTACCAAAAATGATCATAGTAAATTCCGGAACCTAAGGAGCCTTCGAAGCCAACTAAACTTCAAGATCATGTATTAGGTTGCTTATTTACTTCTAAATATTATTACTCTTCACTATATCGAAACTGGCTGAACAACACATTTTTAATAGTTGGTATTACCAATTTAAAAAAAAGTGAATTAATTGTTAAACAATACAATTCTGCCCAGGAAGTATCTTTACGAATTTGAAGGCGTTCTAGATAGATCAGTCGGCACCGACTTTCATAGCTGGCTAGTCGAAACGGATCTCTCCACCGCAGTTTCCGCAGAACGAATCGTAGAAAACGTCGTTGAACAAAATCAACTCAATGTAATATGTTTAAGGAATGTTACACTAACTCTAACGACAAATCTCACATACTCCCGTTCTTCATATCCCACCCCCCGACTGTTCAATCTCAGAAATCCCTAGACAAAAAAAAATACTCACTTTGATGCTTATCAGCTAATTGCACGAGCGGTGTGGGCAGATCTCGCCGTCGATAGAAGCACATCACTTTCGCCTCCACGTTGCCGTTTTGCGTTTTGTTGAGCTCCTCGATCCGGCGGATCTGGAACGGGGTCGTCGACGATGTCTCCACGTAGACATAGTCTGCAAGAAGAGGAAGAAGAGAACAAAAAATCCAGTTAATCAGTTATATCGAAATACGCTTACGGAGCAACAACAAATCGTCCGTTTATAGTCGGCAATTTTTAATCAAATCAGCTGGATCTCGCGGGATTCTGATTTTGGTTCTCCGGAAACAGAAGAGCGAGGGGTCACACACACAGAACATTCAACAACAACAATAATAATAATAATAATAATAATAATAATAATAATGATAGCATGGCGATGGCGAAGGCGCGCGCGGTAGCCATAACTCTTCAACCTTTTACGAGCGGCTGTCGTCACAGAAGACATAAAACAAGGCTTTTATGATCTCATCTCTTTGGGATCCCACTTCGTACCTAAACGCGGAGCAACCGCCGCCACGTATACGACGAGTAAGCGGTCTGTTTTGGATTTCTATCCCGTTTTCGGAAGATATGTGTTATGCTGATTCAGTCATCTTCGACCCCTTCTCCTCCGAAAATGCAATCGAATCCAACTTCGAAAACACCTGTTCGAAAAAGAATTGGGAATTCTTCGTTTGATTTTGCATGCTATAGAAACTACACCTACATTTACAAGTGTAAATTACTTAGTGTGTAAAGTGAAAATATGTTAAGTGGTTGTCGATTTGAATGACAGCAAAACGAATGAATAGCTTAAAATCACTGATGCATCGCAATAATCCTATGCATTAGTTTCACACTCACGCCCAATATGCATTTTTCTGCATCTAAAAGCAACGATGAAAACCACAAAATCAACCACGCGTTACACGCTTCTGTTCATGACGGGTAGCTACAATTTCGCTTTTTATTTTATGCCGTGTGATATGGTTTTGAGAGGAAATCAGGTGCATAACAGTGTTGTTTTCCCAGGGGAATTGTAAAATCTGCATAAGTGCTTCTTATATAATGCTGCAGTGGAAAATAAACGATAAAATAGCCCTAGTTCAATTTAGTAGCTCATTTAGTGACAGCTATAACCGATGAAAGCCTCTTCTGCCGAGTCACACGTAGGTGGCCGCCTACCTTGAAATGTGGGATTGTAGTTTTAAATCTGTGAGTTTGGTAGTTTTGAATTTGAGTATGTAGGGAACAGCACTTTTTCGGCATAAGGATGAAAGATCTAGTCAAGCGGTGATGAAGATGATAGTTTGTGTCCATTGAAGGAAGTATTACGACAAAGGTATTTTTTTTCCTCTGTTCGGGACATAACACCACAGCGACCAGCAATTTGATCTATTGTAGTATATCCCGTGTCCTTAGTTTATTGCATGTCGTATTACTCCATCACTATTGACAAATGATGAGGTATTCGGATTTGATACAGTTGTCATTCTTGCCTTCCCCGCAAGGAATCGATTCTAATTGAAAGGTCCCGCTATTTATACCCTTCGGAGTGTTGGAACACCCTCCAAAGGCGCGCTCCTTTGTCAATCAAAATTGGATTCCTTAGCAACAAAATTAAGGTATGACACCGATAATGACCATGCATCAGAACCCTAGTCTTAACCACTTCAACCTAGGGAAAAACGAATAGAAGATTAGGAATCACATAGATGAAGACTAACGAACTCATTTTTTCTTTGTTTCAAGATCATCCTCGGTGGACTGAGCCGAGTCTTATCACTATCAACAAGGCATAAAAAGTAACAAGGACTAAGACGTGTTCCTTTGATTACGGAAAAAATCCTGTTCCCCTAGTTTGAAGTAGTCAAGACTAGGAATTGGTGGTAGATCTTACATCCCGTAACGTACCAAGAAAATGTGATCTACCTACGTTACGGGGCGACAAAGGTAATTGCTATTTGATATTTTTGTAAACAGTGACAGATAGCGGACATGAAGATCCAGGAGGTGCCGGACAAAGGCGTTATATCCTAGACAAATGGTAAGTTCCAAATCCGCTGTTGTCGTCATCGTCATATTCGCCGTCATAGGTGGAACCATTCGTATATTTAAAATTAATCATCAACCGCCGAAACTATATGAATTATCGCGTATTTCTGTTGTTCATTACAGACCAAGCGAAAACTTAACCATATTTTGTCATGAAGTTGCGTTTTTGCTTAATGAGCAGAATATCATGGGTTTAATCCCAACCTCTCCCACAACAGAATAAACCGCCATCGTTGGGTTCCAAGAGCATGAAGCGCAGTTAATAGCCAAAAGTTGAATTGTTTAAACCATGAATTTCGGAAAGGGTGTATGCGTGATCCAGCTTGGAAGACATTGTAGGCTGCTTTCGGGGACGTCGCTTCATTTGAATAGCTTTTTGTTATGTCGTTAGTAGATTGTGGTAATGTAAGGGACCCGGTGGCCATAGAGCAACCGTTTTTGCTTATTGAGCAAAAGATCTTGGGTTAAAACCCAAGCCTCGTTTCATAACTGAGTTGATCTGAGCCTCTATTGTAGAAAATCGTTAATAATAGGAATCGGCTAAACGATTCGGAATAGTAATACGTATATTAAGAGAAATGTGACGTCAACCTGATCCGGTTCGGAAGACACTGCTAACTATTTTCGGGGATTTCATTTCATTGTAATAGCTTCTTGGAACCGATAATGAACGATCGTAGGTCGTAGCTTATTGTGATGTAAGGGGCACGATGGCTTTTGAGCGACCGTTTTTGCTTACTGAGCAGAAGTCTGTGGGTTAGAACCCAAGCACCTTACACTATTGACTGTAATGAAATTCGGTTAAAAGGACGGATACGTAAAAGAAGCAATATTCGAGTTTTTGGAAAGACGTGTTGATTGGAAATCAATAGCAAATTCTTCTCAACAGCATTTGATGTCGTCGTCGGTGAGGGCGTCGCCAGGATCGAAACATAGTTACAACAAATTGAACGGAAAATTAATCGTAATTGTTTTGTGATATAAGGAGCTCGGTGGCCTAGTGGCAACCGATTTTTCTTACTGAGCAGTTAGGACATCAATTCAGCTTATCGTTTACCAAAACGAATCCTACTGCAATCCCACCCCTTTTATCCAACATCTCAGTGATTTCTCGTGGAAGTGCAGAGGTGTTCTGGGCTTTCATTAATTCGAGTATTACGTCAAAATATTCCTACCCATTCCTTTCTTGACCAGCATTCGGACGTGGCCAGCGCTGGTATTGCCTAATTTTAGCTCACCAGTATTTACACATTGAGGATGATTGCTAGTCCCAAGCAACGTCTATTGGTTCTCTGTGTAATTACAGCTGATCTACCAATAACGGAGTTGCATCTACGGGTGGTCAATCATGTTTATGCTCAATCATGCACACAGCACTACTCGGCATAAGCACGTAATTCCGTCAGATCGAACAGAAACAACAAAAATATCAATGATGTATCAATGTGAACGAATCAATCATACGTTTTGTACGATAATTTAGTTCAAAAGTACAAAACAAAGTCAAAGTCTTCAGAATTGTCCTGGATTTCCATTCAGAACTACATTGCAATCCATCAATTGAGCATGTCCCATAAGAATATTTAAACGTTTCTAACCATTTTATTCGAAATTTATTTAAATTTCCGCATATTTTCCATTACTAGAAGTTACATCACAAAAAGGATTTTGCACAATAAGAATCCCAATAGAATTCTAAAATCTGATAAATTGTTCAAAAGACTTTAAATCAACGCTAGTCTAATAACCTTTCAAGCCACCGACGCCAGGAAGGCAGCTCCCACACCTGGACCTTACCAATCGACCCATCAAACTCATGGACCGGGGACCAACGGCTTTACTTCCCTGCCTCAGAAGATCCCGACGGTGCCGACTGGGATTGAACCCAGGATTTTTGGAGTGTGAGGAAATCACGCTTACCACTTCAGTATAAATCATTAAAAGATTCCAAAAATCTAATTCTTGCAAACCAATTTTGAAGTTCTAAATGTTACGCATTTTTGGACTAAAGTAGGCCACTGCGCCATATATAATCGTCAAGATTCTCCTCGTTTGGCCAGTTATAATGAAAAATCATGGTGGCAACTGAATTTACATTTTAAAATTTCAGGTTTTTCCCGGTTTTCTTGGTGCTTGGTTTTTTTATTTTTTTATACGATAAATGAGGAGATGAAAATATTTAGTTGACAGTTCCGTTATAGTACGGTAGTGTGAACGTTGTATATAGAAAGTAGAAAGCGAGCAAAGGACAATTTTGAGGAAGGTACGAATCAGGTTGATCGTCCATCCCCTTTACCAAACTCATCCATAGCAAGTTCCTAATCCGTTTCTTGCCTCGATTTACTCACTGATACGAGAAGAAGTCCTTCGCATGGCAATTTTCTCACCCTTAGAAGTTTTTTTCTGACTGCTTCCGAACTCCACTTTAGGGCATACATTCATCCAGATTTCCTCCTTCTTGGTTACCAGCAAATCTCGATTAGCAATTTCCCGGTTTTTCCCGTTTTTCTCCAGGAATTTTGGAAGTTTTTCAGGTTTAGTGATATACATTTGAATTAAGCATAAAACTGAATGCGGTTGAGCTAAAGGTTAAATAGGTCATTTCTAAAACAGCAGCACCTTTACTGGATCTTGAATTTGGTTCTACGACACGTTTGAAGTCTTCGCTCATAACTTTATAGCCTTTTATTTGATAAATAGTTATTTTCTAAACTTGAAATTCTCTCTGAAAGCCCCTTGAAAATGTCTTTACAACAGTCCAGAAATTATCTGTAGAACACTCCAAGAACTTCTTAAAATTCTTCCTTAGATTCTCTTCGAATTTTAAACTCTTTCTAAGAATTCACTGGAGCTTCAATTTGTTTTTATTTGCTTGAAATTCTCCATAGAGTTCCCATGCAATTCACCTCAGATTCTCGACCAACAATTGAAAAGGGTATATTAACTTTTAAGACCAGTAATCCCCATTCCCTGCCAACACCATCGGGCAGAGGAAATTCTTCCGCTGAGAATTGTCTTCATATTTTGCTCGTAATTCAAATCCTCTAGAAACTTCATTCGAAATGCGTTTGGTATTCTCCTCATAATTTTCTAATAAAT